TGATTTAACCCTTACAACAATGATATGAAGTATTCATTTTATTATTATTATCTAGTGTCTAAGAAACAATGCCCAGTTGTGGATGTGCTGGTGGTGAAGGTAAATTCCGAGGTTGTAAAGAGCAATATTGATGGGAACCTGGAATGTTAGGTCCATGGATCAAGGCAAATTGGAAGTGGTCAAATAGGAGACAACAAGGGTGAACACTGACATTTTAGGAATCACCAAACTAAAATGGACTGGAATGGGTAATTTAATGCAGGTGACCATTATATCTACTACTGTGGGCAAGAATCCTTTAGAAGAAATGGAGTAGTCTTCATAGTCACAAAGAATCTGAAATGTAGTACTTGGGTACAATCTAAAAAAGGACAGAATGATCTCAGTTCCTTTCCAAGGCAAACCTTTCAATATCAGAGTAATCCAAGTCTGTGCCCCAACCACTAGTGCTGAAGAAGCTGAAGTTGAACAGTTCTATGAAAATGTCCTTTTCATCACAGGGGATTGGAATGCAAAAGTATGAAGTCAAGAGATACCTGGAGTAACAGGTAAGTTTGGCCTTGGAGTACAGAATGAAGCAGGGGAAGGCTGACAAAGTTTTGCCAAGAGAATGCATTGGTCATAGCAAACACCCTCCAACAACACAAGAGATGACTCTAACAAGCACATCACGAGAAGGTCAATAGTGAAATCACATTAATTATGTTCTTTACAGCAAAGATGGGGAGCACTATACAGTTAGCAGAAACAAGACTAGGAGCTGACTGTGGCTCAAGTCATGAACTCCTTATTGTAAAATTCAGACTTCAGTTGAAGAAAGTAGGGAAAACCACTAGACCATCAGGTATGACCTAAATCAAATCCCTTATGACTATACAGTGGAAGTGAGAAATAGATTCAAAGGATTAGATCTGATAGACAGAGTGCCTGAAGAACTATGGATGGAGGTTTGTAACATTGTACAGGAGGTGGTGATCAAAACCATCCCCAAGAAAAAGAAATGGAAAAAGACAAAATAGTTGTCTGAGGAGGCCTTACAAAGAGCTGAGAAAAGAAGAGAAGTGAAAGCCAAAAGAAAAAAGGAAAGATATATCCATTTGAATGCAGAGTTCCAAAGAATAGTAAGAAGAGCTAAGAAAGATTTCCTCAGTGATCAGTGCAAAGAAATAGAGGAAAACAAAGAATGGGAAAGACTAGAGATCTCCTCAAGAAAATTAGAGATCCCAAGGGAACATTTCATGCAAAGATGGGCACCAAAAAGGACAGAAATGGTATGGACCTAACAGAAGCAGAAGCTAATAAGAAGTGGTGGCAAGAATACACAGAAGAATTATTAAAAGATCTTGATGACCCAGATAATCCCGATGGTCTGATCACTCATTTAAAGCCCAACATCCTGGAAGGTGAAGTCAAGTGGGCCTTAGAAAGCATCACTAAGAACAAAGCTAGTGGAGGTGATGGAATTCCAGTTGAGCTACTTAAAATCCTAAAAGATGATTCTGTTAAGTTGCTGCACTCAACATGCTAGCAAATTTGGAAAACTCAGCAGTGGCCACAGGACTGGAAAAGTTCAGTTTTCATTCCAATCCCTAAGAAAGACAATCCCAAAGAATGTTCAAACTACTGCGCAGTTGTACTCATCTCACACACTAGCAAAGTAATGCTCAAAATTCTCCAAGCCAGGCTTCAGCAGTATGTGATCCATGAAATTCCAGATGTTCAAGCTGGATTTAGAAAAGGCAGAGGAACCAGAGAGCAAATTGCCAACATCCACTGTATCACTGAAAAAGCAAGAGAATTTCAGAAAAACATCTACTTCTGTTTCATTGACTATGCTAAAGCCTTTGACTGTGTGGATCACAACAAATTGTGGAAAATTCTTCAAGAGATGGGAATACCAGACCACCTTATCTGCATCCTGAGAAACCTGTATGTAGTTCAAAAATGAAGTGTTAGAACCAGATATGCAAGAATGGACTGTTTCAAAATTGGGAAAAGAGTATGTCAAGGCTGTATATTGTCACCCTGCTTATTTAACTTATATGCAGAGTACACCATGTGAAATGTCGGGTTGGATGAAGCACAAGCTTTAATCAAGTTTGCTGGGAGAAATATCAATAACCTCAGATATTCAGGTGACACCACCCTTATGGCAGAAAGTAAAGAAGAACTAAAGAGCCTCTTGATGAAGGAGAAAGAGGAGAGTGAAAGTTTGTCTTAAATTCAACATTCAAAAATTGAAGATTATGGCATCCAGTCCCATCACTTCCTGGTAAATAGATGGAGAAAGAATGGAAACAGTGACAGACTTTATTTTCTTGGGCTTCAAAATCACTGCAGATGGTGACTGCAGCCATGAAATTAAAAGATACTTTCTCCTTGGAAGAAAAGCTATGACCAACCTAGATAGCATATTAAAAAACAGAAACATTACTTTGCCAACAAAAGTCTGTATAGTCAAAGCTATGGTTTTTCTAGTAGTCATATATGAATGTGAGAGTTGGACCATAAAGAAGGCTAAGTGCCTAAGAACTGATGCTTTTGAACTGTGGTGCTGGATAAGACTCCTGAGAGTCCCTTGGACTGCAAGGAGATCAAACCAGTCAATCCTAAGGGAAATCAGTCCTGAATATTCATTGGAAGGACTGATGCTGAAGCTCCAGTACTCGGGCATCTGATGCAAAGAGCCGACTCATGAGAAAAGGCTCTGATTGTGGGAAAGACTGAAGGCAGGAGGAGAAGGGAATGACAGAAGATGAGATGGTTGGATGGCAGCATTGTCTCAATGGACATGAATTTGAGCAAGCTTCCAGAGATGGTGAAGGATAGGGAAGCCTGGCGTGCTACAGTCCGTGTGGTCGCAAAGAGTTGGACAGAACTGAGTAACTGAACAACCACAACAACAGGCAGAGAAACTGGCTTTGAAAACATTAGGGTATGTGGAGATGCTTGAACACCAGCAAGGAATGTAAAGTAAAAAATCAAGAATGTGGATTAAAAAAATAGAGAACACAAACCTAGGTTGAACAAACGTTAAAAGCCAGAGTACTCTGAGGTTGAAATCTGTCCTGAGGGGTAGCATTTTAGGATCTAATAGTGATTTATTAACCAAGCAGAGCACATACCTGAGTGCCGATCATTTCTCAACATGCAGTAGACATTTATCAAACTGTGTCCGTATAAGAAATACTTAAACTAAGTAGGCTGTGGACTGCAGTAAGACAGTCAAACCTAAAAGAAGGTCTCCATGTGCCAGAGGAACTGACTTGAACTTCCAAAGCCTGGAAACAAAAAGGTCCAATAGAGGGCAGGCAACTGACTTTAGCCAATAATGACCATGAAACGTCAAATTAGGTCAATGAATTTGTAGTAAAAGATAACATTTGTAATTGTTATCAGTATAGTTCTTGGAACTAATAGGCTTATGTGAAACCTGTCTAAAATCTTGGGAGAAGAATAAAATGTCTACCCTGAAAACTGAACAATTCTGAATCATCAACTAAACATTAAAGACAATAAGCTTGATACAAAAATAAAAGACCAAACTACTGAAATACCATTGTATTCCTAAGTGAGTGAGCAAGTGAGTGAAATTTGCTCAGTCGTGTCCGACTCTATGAGACCCCATGGACTATACAGTCCATGGGATTCTCCAGGCCAGAATACTGGAGTGCGTGGTAGTGTTTCCCTTTTCCAGAGGATCTTCCCACCCCAGGGATCGAACCCAGGTCTTCTGCATTGCAGGCATATTTCTAAGTGATTGATGCAAATAATGGACCATTTTCAGGTGAAACACAGAAACCTTTCTGAAAACAATTCTGATTTTTCTTTCTTTTCATTTACCACATTTTCCTGTAGGTCATTTGAACCTCTTCAGCAATAAAAGCAGTATTTGGCTATTTGTTCTATGACAAAATTTGCCAGCAACTACCACACTGTTAGGTATCTGAAGACAATCACTAGGTGACTTTCCTCACTGCATCTCCACAGCAACAGATAATTTTTGATGTCAAAGTATGTGTTTTGACTTTTAAGGAATAAAACAAAAATTGCAGGTAGATACTCAAATAGAAAATCGCTGGTTTTGTATCAATTATGGGAGGAGGCAAATCCCTGAATGGCACCCGTACTTCCCTATTTGCCAACATTCTCTCTGTGCTACAGAAGAAGTCCTTAACGCATTAAGATTTAAATACACTAAGGTGTAGTTTCCCAGTTTGATAACAAGTCAATATATCCTGCTATTATACCCTACCAGATAGTCTAAAATTTAAAAATATACATAGTGTTTTATTCACCATTTTTGGGGGCCACACCACATGACATGCAGAGTCTTGGTTCCCTGACCAGGGATCAGGCCTGCACCCGCTTCAGTGGAAGCATGGAGTCTCAACCACTGGACCACCAGGGAAGTCCTATATTCAACATTTTAAAACAATCTTCCAAAACTAAATAAATTGCAAACACTGCTTTAGATGCTTCTTCAGTAAGCTTTTCAAACCCAAGTAAGTTGACATTCCACATAACCGATCCCAATGTCTATGGGTGTTCACTGGAACATTTGCAAAAAGATTTGACACTCTGGCTTCGGGGATGAAATGACTCCAACTGCAAAATGTTTGAGCTAAAAGATCCTGTTTATCTGTCTTAAAGGTGTGTTCACGTATGCTTATAAGGCTTAAGGAATTTTTCAAATACTTTAAAGCACATTTTGAGTATTTAGAATTACCCAGTAACTTTTATATAATATTTTTTTTCAAAAAAAAAAAAGGGCATAAAGCAAGTCCTATGTCCACTGATTCTATATTTGCTCATTGCTTCCATCTTTTATCAAAAATGGTACTGTTTGGACATACTGGCTTCTGGAAGGACTGGCTGTTTTATTGCATTTTACAACATCTACAACAGAGAAACTTTTAATTGGGGCAATTAATTGATACCATGACACAGCTAAATAATCAAGGCAGCATCTGGTGTGTACAGCACACTCCACTTCCTACCTTGGGCGCCTTGGCATGTTTCCCACATCTGGCGTCTTTGACAAGGCTGAGATCTAACAGCTCCGTCTCCTGGAAGGCAAAAGTGTGAGATCGTTAAGCATCCACACAGATCTTTTTTCTTTTGTTTCATAGCATTGGCATCACTTTAAAAATAATATTATCTTGAGACTTGCCTGAAAATTTCCCTGCAGTTGGGATATTTTTCTCCTCTTACATGCACTGCCTGTCAATGGAATGGGAATGGAAACAAAAAGACAGCTACCTGCTAGTTCTCAGCTTTATATATCATAATACATTTTGAAAGTACAATGGTTTGGGTCCCCAGTTTATCCTATAAGCCATTCCTAAGTCATGATGAGTCAGGCCTTCCTGTTCCCTTGTTGAAATATATTCCTGAGAGTCACTCTAAGTGTTTTGAGGATTTGTGAGTGGAGTGAGGGGTTAGGGTTGGGGGCGGGAGGAGGTACCAACCCCAGCTCACAAAATACAGCCCATGTGGTCAAGCTAAAGAGATGGGCATGCCTCCCATACCTGCACCCCAAGTCTTTTGCACACACCCCTTGGGCCTATGTTTTCATTTATTTATTATATATTATTAAATGCCTATAATATTCAAGTTACTCCAGGATATAAGACACATAAGACATGGCAGCTTCTCTGAATGGACTTGCAAAGTAAATATATATATATGCATAAGACAAGGGAGAGTGTGTTAAGGCCAACTTTAAAGTTAACTGCTATGATGAAGGGGGGTTAAAAAGAAAAGATTACTTTTCCCCTAGAGGCTCAGAAAAAAATTCTGTGAGGAGTCATTGAGACTGGAGAAGGGAAGTGAGGAGATAAAGTTCTCCCCAGCTGGAGGCCCACATGGCAAACATCCGGCCAAGAGAGGGCCAGAGGTTTGAGCAGAGCCTTGAGGTCTTTGTGACCCTTAGTTGCTGGGAGAAGGAGGACAGTGCGTGGGAAGCAGGTGGGAGAGAGAGACGCAAAGGAGGGAGAGAGGGATGGGAGAGGATCTGTGTACACCTACGGCCTACTCATGTTGAGGTTTGACAGCAAACAGCAAAATTCCGTAAAGCAATCATCCTTCAGTTAAAAAAATTTAATTAATTAATTAAAAAAATAGAGTGAGTGAGGAAAAGCCCAAGGGAAGGCACAATGGCAGTGCAGGAAGGGGGCACACACAGGCAGTATGCAGAATCCCACTGTGGGAATGAAGAGCATATGAAGAAACATATGAAGAAAAGGGAGTGAGAAGACCAGAAATGGACTTCAGTAAATGGATAGAAACCCTAAAAGTCTGGCTAGGGACACTGAGCCATGGAGTCTGGGACATGCACATCACTGAGTTACCAGAGCACTCTGGTAACAGAGCACTCTGCCACCAGCCAGATGAGACTGGTTCAGTGAGCAGAGACATACAAGCTGTTTGCCAGACAAGGAGCTATTGGGATGGCTCCTCCAAGCCCCTTCTCCTGGCGGGAGGTGCTGCACCCTCACAGGAGGGGTGGTAATTTCTCATAGGTCCCAGCTTTTATGAGGACCAGCGCCTGGGGTTCCCAGCCAATCCCTTCAAACAGCCGACCCCGACTCCAAACGTTTGGTGCAAAATGGTCTGATTATTTTCCTGAGTCTAAGGTTGATTTCATGATTGCAAGACAATAAGGGTCAAAGATGTGATGGAGTCTCTACACTGGGATACAAACCCCACTGCAGGTCCAACAGAACCCTGGGCCCTGCACAGCTCACCACAAGCAGAAGGGAGCACAGCAAACAATGCCTTTTCTGCTTTCGTTCACACTGGCCTTCGCAATTTGCCTTCCCCCATGTTAGTGAATTCCTTAACCCATTACTATGCGTGACTCTGTGCAGACCCTGCCAAACTGTGGTGTGTGACAGGTAGCAAAACCAGCAAGGATCTTGCAGGACGGAGTAGTGGGCAACATGCTTCCCTCAAGGATGCACCATCCACAGTATCAAAGGTCACCTGGTGAAAGTTAGGAACCAACATCTCTCAAATGCGGGACTTAAGACTTCACCCAGGCAAAGGCATACAGAGGATTCAGGAGAGAGGAGGTGGGGCATGTGGCCCAGGTTTCTTCATCTTCATGATAACAGCAGCCAAAACATTTACTGAAAGAGGAGAAACAGGAAGAGAACCTAGCTTGAAGAAACTTAATCTAAAAGACAAGAACTGAGTGGAGTGCTGAGACACAGAGACCAGACAAAGGTCAAGGTGTGAGGAATAAAGACGACAGAGGGTGAGATGGCTGGATGGCGTCACCGACTCGATGGATCTGAGTTTGAGCAAGCTCTGAGAGTTGGCGATGGGCAGGGAAGCCTGGCGTGCTGCAGTCCATGGGTCGCACAGAGTTAGACACGACTGAGCGACTGCACTGAACTGAACTGATGATAGGAGGTAAAACTGACTAAAGTAAAGAGAGAAGGCCTTGACAGCTCTAGGGATGCCAGCTTCCTCACTGGGACTCAGAAGTTTGGGCAAAATGACAGTGCATAGAGGAGCTGCTGGTTGAAGACTTTATCCATTTGGAAACGCCCACCATTAATTCATGGAAGCATTGTTTATTGAATCCTGCAATGTGTCAGGTACAGACTAGATACTGACGAATGACACCTCAAAACATAAAGAGACACTCATGCACAAAGCTAATGGTTATACTCTAAAGAGGACATTTCAAAGTGCACTGCAGACGTGGACCACAAAGGGCTATGGTGTCTTTTCAGCCAACACATAAGGATGAAAAGGAGTTTGCCAGCCTTATAATTCTGCGTTTTGTGGGGAGGGCTCCAGGGAGAGGAAACAGCAGTTGCAAAGGCAAAGAGGCAGGAGTCCTGAGCAGAAAACAAGTCACTCTGGACACACAGCAGAAATGCGTGGAGACTTACCAATCACTTCCAAACTTAGCAGCTGTTACCTGCATGTTCTCTTTGTAATTATTCATGAAATACTGACATGTTTTTCAAGCTTTTTTTCCCCATAAATGTAGCATCATGTTTTATATATATGCAGAATAAAAATCACACCCTAATTGCACACAAACATCTTCTATTCAAGGAAATTCCTCCTGGTTGAATAAACAATAGACTTAAACTTTACTTATTTGTTTTACACACAAAGCCCAAATTGAGTTCACAAAGAAATAGACCTTAGCAGGCATCATTCTGTAGACTTTTCTATTACAGATAATGAACACTGTTTTTTGCTTTCAGCTCAAAAGGAAACATTCATTTCCCAAGTCACAGAGGGGTGGTTAACATTCATTTTGATCCCACAGCAACTAAGAAACTTCTCTGCAGCGTGTGTAAAATTGTGCATGCAAGAAAACCACCACAGGGCACTCTGAGCACGGGCAATGATGTGTGTGAAAGACCCTGTTGGAAAGCTAGCCACAGACTCACTGGGCTAGGAAGACAAGATTAAAATAGTCTCCCACTTCTATTAACATGCAACAGCCACCCCTCTGGGATTTAACTACATCTTATTTGCACTCCACTTAAAAGAAAAGGAGGAATACAATGGAGGGACTGCAAAAATGTTACTTGTGTCATTAAAACTCTTTCTAGGTTAATTTTCTAGCGTTAATAGTTTTAACAAACCACTTTCATGATGAGAAAGCAAGGAAATGGCCCCTTTCTCAATTCATTTAAGAGTGACTGTTTTCCAGGCCTATGGAATTCACTATTTCTTTATTATTTTCTTTAAGAAACAGAGGCCCCATGATTTTTAATACCTGGGTTTGAGGAAGGGCCCTCAAATGAACTAGTCATGTATTTGTTCAATCATCAGACCACAGTGGGCATCAACTGTATCATCTATACAATGAATATGATAATACTTGCTACACCAGTGGTTCTCAAAGACGGCATTGGAGTCACTAGAACACGTGTAAACGTAGACCAGTTGAGCACCATTCATCAGCATCTCCAGTTCAGCAGGACTTGGGTGCACCTAAGAACCCGCATCTCTGACATGCGCTCCTGTGACACTGTTCCATGGACCATAATGGAAAACGCTGATGTACTAATTCACAGAATTGCTATTATAAGGCTTTTTAGGTGAACATGAGAGATAAAACTATGCATTATATGTTATATTATGATGCAGGAAAATTTAAAATGCTCACTTCTTTATATATGGAATGGGCAAATAAAAATTTACATCTATTAAAAGCAAAAGTGTGACTAATGGTGAATCACTTAGGCTCAGATTTTATTTATTAAAGATAAACTATTGAATGACAAAAGCCACTATCTCTTGTTCTAATGTGTCCTTACCATTAGATTTTACTCCATAGAATAAATATCCCTGTTGTAAAGTTAAGCAATCATTGATTTTTGATGAAAATAGCTACACTATACAACTTTTGTGTTTCACTTTGTAACATTAAAGACATTTAGCAAAATAAAAGAAGAAAATGTGTCCTTCTCTCTCACCTCTAAGCCCACCCAACAAGGAAAGAGGGTTGGGGTGCCCAAAGGCCTATGATCTACCTGAAACAGTCAATGAAGAATGAACGGACCCCTTTTTATTTCCAAGGCACACAATGGCCCCTGCAGAGCTTAGAGACCACATTCCTAGCACCCCCAGTACATACACTGATGTATTGACAAATGTGCCTTCTCTCTAGGTCATTATGGACAAAAGTCAATTAACAGTAATCAATGATTTATTTTTGATACTTTGTATTAGTGATGAGAAAACTGAGTCAGCAAAGCTAGGAGAAGGCCAAACTGTCTCTGATGTTTACTATTCAGCAAAAAGACTTCAATTCATCAGCCATCAACACACTGTGAGGTAGATGAGTCATGAAATGCACTGCAAACTCAGAAGAGAATGCAATTTAAAACGCAGCCCTCTTCCAGAACACCAATTTCTATGCATTGCCACCAAATTCTATTAGTCATCCAACATAATAATGTGCTTCAAGTTCACACAATATATAATCAGAGCAGCAATTACAGTCATAAACATTACAGAGGGAAGATATTAATGTATACTTCCCCATGTGTTATATTCCTTAAGTTGTTCAACCTCGATTTACCAAAAG